ATAAAGACTTTTGTGGAGATTATATATCTCTTTTTTTGGTAGTATGAAGATTATGCAGGTTATTATTATTTGATTGTTTGCTAGTTACGTAGGTGAAAGATATATATTTATTGAAGTTTATTTTTTCGTTTGAAATTGGCTCTGGACAAAGGTGTTATTAACATTATCATTGAACTGAGCTCATGCTGTTCATCTTGTTCAGCATATTGATTCCTCATGTTTACACCGCCTTACTGGTTTGCTATAGGATTAGTTTGGTCTCAGCCAATTTGAGAATTATATATGCGCTGTGGTGATAATGTGTAGGGCATTTTAGTAATCAAATTAATTTGGATTCTGATTCATGAAAATTAGTAAACAATAACAATGGGAATCAACCCCATTCCTTTGCTGATTCCATATGTTTAGTAAACAGTTTAATGGGAATGATTCTTCCCATACCGATTCAATAGTTTCCCGATTCCTAAATTCTCTGATTCCTTACTTTCTCCATTACTGATACGTAAACATGCCTTAAAAGTATTTGTTTTCCAGATGAAAAGAAATGACCAGCTTAGATGATGAACTATACGATTGATAACTTCCCTGACCCAAAAAAAATATGATTGATAACCAAAAGTGTAATTCAACTTTCCTCAAAGAAAACTAAAAATATAATTCCATGCTTGAGTTGAGTGCAAAGAGTTGCAGCAGAACTCGGTAATAGAATCTGATCACCACAAACGAAATAATAATAATAATATTCTTTAAATCAAGTTGCAGAATCAGAACCAAACGTGTCCCATCGGCTTTGGGCCAGGGTAAGAGTGAACATTGCTGCTTTTTAAGCATAAGCCTAGACATAAGATCATTGTCCAAACAGAAGGAGAAACACACATAGGTGGCCTCATCTTGGCATGCTTTTCCATTTCCTTGTTTAAAATCCACTTTTATAAAACAACGAACAAGTAGATGATAATGGTGACTGGATTTCTACGAAATGCTCCTTACATATTGGTCGAGCGTTGTATTGAATAGCTCACACCTACAAGGAAACATTACTCTGGGATTCAAAAACTATTTTCTTTTGCATGAAAACCTTACAAAGGTAAGGATATAGTATAACCATATCTAGACAAGGAATATACAGTTGAACCCTGTATTACAAAATCTCATAAGAAGCAATCCCCGGAGAAGTGAAACTTTGTTCTAGTATTATGAAATCAATGAATCAGGTATCCATGAAGTACCAGAGATGGATAAGCCACCAGTAGAATAATTCAATAGACCTATTTATATGCAAGGAAAAGAAAAGTAGACAGGTTCTAAACAAACAGAGTTTACAAAATACTAACAACAACAATAAGATGATACACATCAACATGCCTTCTAAAACAAGAAATAAACTAGTTCAAATATTAGTCTTGTTATAGTGCAACAAAACATGCAAGGAGACAGTTTTTTATCACTAATTGCAATATTAAGTTTCTTTACTTGAGCATTCCCAATGGGACACAGTGTGAGCAGAAAATTATAAAACTGATAATATCAATCCATGTAGTAGGGATGACTATCTATTTATGACCTATGAGATGAAACTTCTTACTATGAAGATTGATCATGTACTACATTACGAGAATCGAAACTGAACCAGTTACCTGATTGGAGTTCCAGGAGTGTAGAGCGGGTTCTTCACGACATATTCCACATACAAGTTGTAAATGTACTTCAAAGATTCACGCAAGTCGCCGGTCCTGGGATGAGTAACCAAGATAATCTGCACACACAAACACAAAACAAAGAGTAAGAAAGCAGCGGCAGCACATTAAGAATTAATCTAATTGTACGACAATTTGGTATACACAAACACAACCACACATGTCCAAATTTCTAATCTAAGCACAAATTCGAGAATGTAATTGAGTGAGAGGAGAGGCCTTTCTTTCCGATCTAAATCGCTAGATCTAATACTAGAAAATTGCCAACAGAAGAAACAAACATTTCATATTCATATTCAATCAAACCATAATTCTTAATTTCAAGATCTGAAAGTAAAAAAAAAAAAATTAAAAAAAAAAGAGAGACGTAGAAAACTGAAAAAGCTAACCTTAATGCCAGAAGGGGATTCCATGAAAGTAAGCTTGTAGGTATTGGTGCGGAAGCTGTGGAAGGAACAGCCTTGGCCGGGCAGCTGAGGGACGCCGAGATTGGCCTTATCGGGAGTGGTGGGGTCCATCTTGGCGGTGAGGGACTTGAGAGAGAAGAGGAGGCCGAACATGAGCTTGTGGTCTTGCTGTTGGTTCAGGGTGTGAAGAGGCCGGTTCCATTCACGGTAGAGCAAGCAGACGCCGTTTCTGTTGAACACGTACATCATGTGGCCGTTGTTCCCCGACGCCGTTGACGCCGGCAGCGACGGGCTGATCTCCGTTCCCCCGAAGAATTGCATTTCTCGCTTTGCTGTGCTGTTCCTTCTTCACCAATACTTCAAATTCCCAAAAAATTCCAAATCCAATCGGACTGATTGATCAGATTTTAGGAACTCACCACCGTCCCAAGCCAAGAGATCATCAGATTGTGAAACGCGGCGTTTCAGTCCCTGAGGTCCGTAGCCCACTCAGCTAAATCGGCGACCCCCAAGGCCCAAAGAAGGATGAAGTAAGAAAGGGCCCAAATAAGACACAGAGGATAGAATACCAATTTTATCCTTTATTCTTATCAAATTAGCTTATTGATAACTTTAAAAAGTGAAGGATGATATAGTAATCAACCATACAGTTTATTCACACACTCTCTCTCTCTCTCTTTAGTGTGTATAATTATGAGAGCCCTTTCTCTAGAGAAAAGAAATGACTAGATGAAAATATTTGTGTGAAGGATGATATAGTAATCAACCGTACTGAACACTAAGGGCATGTTTACGTATCAGTAATGGGTATGGGAGGAAAGGAAATGATTTCCATTCCTGACTTCTCCTGCGTTTACTTGCAATCAGGAATGAAAAAATAAGTGGGCCCCACCTCAAAATCCGTAATCACATCCCCTCAAAACTAGGTATCATATCAACTAGGGAAGAGTAGTCGATACGATTCCCATTCCTATTTTCTCTTAGTAACTGCCAAAAAAACCCTTACCACTTTACCATAATTCCAAAACATCCCAAACCCTAAAAAAAATAAAAACTCAAGCCAAGAAGTTCCAAGACGCTCCAACTTCTTTTTCACGTTAGTGTTGCAAACACAACCTCCCAGAAGTAGCAGCAACGCCTTGTGTTATGTAAGTCATTCTATCTATCTATCTTCTTCTTCTATCTTCTGTCCTCACATTTATCACACAAAAAAAAGTACGGTCATGAATAAAGACTTTTGTGGAGATTATATATCTCTTTTTTTGGTAGTATGAAGATTATGCAGGTTATTATTATTTGATTGTTTGCTAGTTACGTAGGTGAAAGATATATATTTATTGAAGTTTATTTTTTCGTTTGAAATTGGCTCTGGACAAAGGTGTTATTAACATTATCATTGAACTGAGCTCATGCTGTTCATCTTGTTCAGCATATTGATTCCTCATGTTTACACCGCCTTACTGGTTTGCTATAGGATTAGTTTGGTCTCAGCCAATTTGAGAATTATATATGCGCTGTGGTGATAATGTGTAGGGCATTTTAGTAATCAAATTAATTTGGATTCTGATTCATGAAAATTAGTAAACAATAACAATGGGAATCAACCCCATTCCTTTGCTGATTCCATATGTTTAGTAAATAGTTTAATGGGAATGATTCTTCCCATACCGATTCAATAGTTTCCCGGTTCCTAAATTCTCTGATTCCTTACTTTCTCCATTACTGATACGTAAACATGCCTTAAAAGTATTTGTTTTCCAGATGAAAAGAAATGACCAGCTTAGATGATGAACTATACGATTGATAACTTCCCTGACCCAAAAAAAATATGATTGATAACCAAAAGTGTAATTCAACTTTCCTCAAAGAAAACTAAAAATATAATTCCATGCTTGAGTTGAGTGCAAAGAGTTGCAGCAGAACTCGGTAATAGAATCTGATCACCACAAACGAAATAATAATAATAATATTAAACACTAAAACTTGTCCACAGGAGATCGAACGATAGGGATCAGTTTTGTGTGTACAAAAGCAACTGCATAACACGAAAGGGGGGGAATACACATGAAAAGAAAATAAACAAATCCTTGTTGATTTCAAAAGAAGAAGAAAAAAACAGAAAAACAAACATCCAAATAGCCAGAGTGCCAGACGACTTGGAAAACTAATTATATAGTCTGCCGAACAAAATCACAAACTCCCAAATAAGTTACAGGCATATCATATCCAACTACTAGGTGCAACAGTCTTATTAGTACTCCCATTTCTTCATCTCCATGCCATCTGGAGCACTTCCCTCAACCTTCTTGTTTCCCACTTCTTTCCAGTTTGTCGAAAGCACTGTCCCATTCGACTCCACCTGTACAAGCAAAACATTAGGAAGCAACGTACAAGTCAATGTGACCACAACTCATATGCATTCTACGGCTGGTATCAAAGACTACAGGCAAAAGTCTTACAAAAGATTTTCTCATGGCCCTTCTAGTGTCCTCATCAGCATCCTTATATATGTCCTGGAAAAATTTGTTCAAAGCCGCATCACCATCAAGCTTCTCTTCTTTTTCCTGAAACCACAACATACAGAGTAGGTGGTCATGCACTAAGACTTGCAAAAGATAATGCCAAATCAACTAACTTGGTTACAAGCACACCTCCTTCTTCACTTCGGCTTCAAGCTTATCCCAGTCTACCCTTTTTGGTTTTGAGGATGGGTAAGATGGCCTTTGCTCTCCAATAACTGTAGGCAGTTGCATCTTTTTAGCAACTATTTTCCAAAGCAAAAAGGGATGCATTCTATTTTACAGAAAAAGTGGTTTACCAAAATATTAACCCACCTGGCACACTAACCCTTGGCACAACAGAGTAATCCTTGCTGAATTCAAGAGATGTCCAGTGTAATGGATCAGCTTTTGCCAGGCGAATTTCAACTTTGGTGGACAATATTCCACATACAAGTTGTAAATGTACTTCAAAGATTCACGCAAGTCGCCGGTCCTGGGATGAGTAACCAAGATAATCTGCACACACAAACACAAAACAAAGAGTAAGAAAGCAGCGGCAGCACATTAAGAATTAATCTAATTGTACGACAATTTGGTATACACAAACACAACCACACATGTCCAAATTTCTAATCTAAGCACAAATTCGAGAATGTAATTGAGTGAGAGGAGAGGCCTTTCTTTCCGATCTAAATCGTAGCGTGAATGGATGCCTTCTGTCATCCATATATAAAACTAGCAAACTCCTAGATTAAATGCAAAGGATACTGTGCTCCACTTATTTCAAAAATTAGAGAAAAAATAAGGGGAAAATGGAAAGGACGTGCATGCGTTCTTAAATTCACTATATGTCCTGGTTAACAAAACAATTTCCTCATAAACATAAAATTGGTGCAATACCTTTCCGAATAAGCGAGGCTGAAAATGATATGTATCCTCACCAGCAAAATCAATGCTAACACTGGTGCAATCCCTTTCCGAATAAGCGAGGCTGAAAATGATATGTATCCTCACCAGCAAAATCAATGCTAACACTTAGCTGGAAACAGCCAATAAAACCAATTCATAAATCTTGTATACAAAGATGCAGACAAAATTTTCTTTAAGATCCAGACAACTATAAAATCAATAAGAAAAATTAATAAAACAAACATTAGATCAATGTGATACATACTATTTGTTCACCAAAGTCAATATGAACATCTTTGGCTGGTATGCCCTTGGCAAATATAGTCACCACCACTTCGTCTGGCTTCTGGTAGAATTCATGCCTGTGTAAATATTTTCACCAAATCATGTATCTTAGTAACTAGGGGTTTTCTATGACAAAATGGATTCTCATAAAGAAGAAAGGGTATGGACTGATTGATCAGATTTTAGGAACTCACCACCGTCCCAAGCCAAGAGATCATCAGATTGTGAAACGCGGCGTTTCAGTCCCTGAGGTCCGTAGCCCACTCAGCTAAATCGGCGACCCCCAAGGCCCAAAGAAGGATGAAGTAAGAAAGGGCCCAAATAAGACACAGAGGATAGAATACCAATTTTATCCTTTATTCTTATCAAATTAGCTTATTGATAACTTTAAAAAGTGAAGGATGATATAGTAATCAACCATACAGTTTATTCACACACTCTCTCTCTCTCTCTTTAGTGTGTATAATTATGAGAGCCCTTTCTCTAGAGAAAAGAAATGACTAGATGAAAATATTTGTGTGAAGGATGATATAGTAATCAACCGTACTGAACACTAAGGGCATGTTTACGTATCAGTAATGGGTATGGGAGGAAAGGAAATGATTTCCATTCCTGACTTCTCCTGCGTTTACTTGCAATCAGGAATGAAAAAATAAGTGGGCCCCACCTCAAAATCCGTAATCACATTCCTTCAAAACTAGGTATCAGATCAACTAGGGAAGAGTAGTCGATACGATTCCCATTCCTATTTTCTCTTAGTAACTGCCAAAAAAACCCTTACCACTTTACCATAATTCCAAAACATCCCAAACCCTAAAAAAAATAAAAACTCAGGCCAAGAAGTTCCAAGACGCTCCAACTTCTTTTTCACGTTAGTGTTGCAAACACAACCTCCCAGAAGTAGCAGCAACGCCTTGTGTTATGTAAGTCATTCTATCTATCTATCTTCTTCTTCTATCTTCTGTCCTCACATTTATCACACAAAAAAAAGTACGGTCATGAATAAAGACTTTTGTGGAGATTATATATCTCTTTTTTTGGTAGTATGAAGATTATGCAGGTTATTATTATTTGATTGTTTGCTAGTTACGTAGGTGAAAGATATATATTTATTGAAGTTTATTTTTTCGTTTGAAATTGGCTCTGGACAAAGGTGTTATTAACATTATCATTGAACTGAGCTCTTGCTGTTCATCTTGTTCAGCATATTGATTCCTCATGTTTACACC